AAGAAAGAAAGAAAGAAAGAAAGAAAGAAAGAAAGAAAGAAAGAAAGAAAGAAAGAAAGAAAGAAAGAAAGAAAGAAAGAAAGAAAGAAAAAGAAACAGGTGTGGGAAATATGATGCTACTTTGACAGGTACATTCTTAGAATGTACATCACATTCAAGTCACATGGTATCCAGGTGACAGCAAAGGACTACATCTATTGTCATCATCAATACTAGATTTTATTTACACTTGTCTGCATGCTAACTATAGGACAATGGATCAGAAAACTCTGAAAGGAAGTAGCTATTTGCCTTTGCTTGACTTTGTGTTGGGGGTGGAAGAGGTATGAATTTAAGAGCACAAATGAAAGATGAAGAAAAGAAAGAGAACTTAACCAAAAAATACAAACCAAGGACCTTAGCAACAGTGGCTGACTAGGAAAAGTATACCTTTCTTTCCCCATATGTCACACCCTCAAACAAGAGAGGGAATTCAGCTCAAGATATTTTTGCTGCAGCCTTAAAAGCAGGAGTTGTGTAAGGTCAATTAAAAAAAAAGTACTATCTGGCAAAAAACCGCTTACCCTTCTTGAGCCAAAATAGTTTGACCTGAGACATCCCAGGGCTGATCCAGGCCTGCGGGGCTGTCTCAGGTGCTCACTTTACCATGAGGACTCAGTTTAAATCAACTGTGCAGCTGCACAAAGCAGAGTTTGTTTGCAAAAGGAGAAAGTCAGTTGAGAATGGGATCGGCTATTCTCTCCGTTCCTTCTTGGGGCTGGAGACAGAGGTGGCAGGGGAAGCTGCTAAAAGCGTCAACACAGGATGTGAGTGCACAGCTGGAATGACAAAGCCCCAGTGATTTTTCAAGGTCTCTGGAAATGCATCAAGGCATGAAAGACGAGTGTTCCCTTGGCTAGGCCTGCTTTTCTAGGGGGCTGAACGCCTATGGACTGGACTGACTGTTCTGTGTACATGAAATGGCAGTGTCTCAATAACCATCAGAGGTATGTAATTCCCATCCCAGGAGAGTACTTTTTAACACATCCGCAGGCAAGGATGGCTTTTCATGTTGTCAGTCTCCAAAGGTTGTTTCCTGAAGGCTCTGGCAGAGGCCGTAATGCAGAGGAAGAAAGGGCTACTCAATGCAGGTTGAGTCTGCCAGCTAGTGAGGAAGTAACAACAAAGAATGAAAACAAATCCATCTTACCTTCCTGGTTACAGCTGGATCCAGATAGCCTTTGAGCTTTTGAATGTATGTATGGGGAGGATTCTTCACCTGGAATCGTTCCTGCAGGAGACACAAATGTAAAGTAAAACGCATGAAAGAGCTATGATAGCAAGACATAGTGAGCCACATTCAAAGAGATCAATACTGCTGATCCGAGGCCAACACATATCTACAGTATGAACATGGCCCTGAAAATAATCCTTATATACTCCCTGTTTTGAATCTTTGTAAATGTGATTATCCTCTCTGTGTGTAGAAAAAGCTGAAGCTCAGAGAAATTCAGAAACAGCCAGTGGTACAAGTAGATTCAAATCTTCACCTGTCATCTCCATATCTGTACTGATTTCTCTGTGGTGTTCTGAAGTTTTAACCTGTTTCAGGGCATTTTCTAGAAGGTTTTCAATCTACTGCATATTTTTTATTTAGTTATCTTTAATATTCTTTAATATTGATAGGTCTTTTTCTGTTGAAAGTGTATTTTATCTTTAAAAACTTGACTTAAAAATAGATAAAATTAGTTTATCTCAAAAATGAATAACAAGTATATTGCTAAGAGTATGGACTGTGTATAAACATGTATATTCTGTGATCATTAATGTATTACCAATTTTTTACCCCCCAAAAAAATTTGCACAAGACATCATTGAAGAAGATTAGATAGAGAGAGCAAGAGAGAGATCTATATCCCCAACTCCCATATGCTAACACTATGATGAAAGTATCCAAATTTGAGATACTTTCATATTAGGTTTTAGAGACATTAAGGTATAAAGTAGCATTATAAACAGAGATTCTAGAAATTGGATAAAAATAAATGCCCATAAACTATGAAATGGCTTAGTACTTTTATTATGTTCATATGATGTTATATATTATATTCCAAGAAAAAGGAACAAAGTAATGTGTGCTCTTGCAGGGACAGATCTTAGAAAACAGACATTGAGAAGAACATATGATTTCATTTATGTAGGTTTGGAAAACAGGCGTTATTAAACTTTAATGGTTAGGGCACAAACATAGCTGATTTACTTGTTTAAATACACACACACACACAGTTTCATATACATACAATGGATGGGAGATGGGGTCAGCATAAAAATGAATTGGAGAACTGAACTGGAGGTGAGGGAAGGGAGCTATGGCCTGATCCTGAGAGCTAGTAGTATTCTACTTGACTCAGATACTGTCCCTAATCTGCTTGTTATGCTGTTCTCAAGTTTCATGACCTTTCTGTGAATATGCTATGTTTCATACCCAAAAAAACTTAATTCAGCTCACAAAGGAAAAACATGATTCGTCACGAAATCAAGACAATTGTAGTCAGTGCTCTGCTTTTTTTTTTTTTCCTATTTACAACCCAAGATGTTTTGTTAGCAATTCCTTTTAACCTGATTGCTATTGATGTGACAATGGAATGTTTTAGAATGTTTTAGTATTTCCCAACACTGACAAAAAACTAACAGTTTTAAGCATCTATTTAATCCATATAAATTTCTATTTCTCCACAGAGAGAACCAAACTATTCTCCTTGTTTTATTCAAGTTTTGCTCAATTACAGACTTAGAACTATTAAAGATCACCTATCAACAAAAATATTTTGTTACTGTTTAGTACTTTAAAATAGAGGGAAGCGTCTTTTTGTGAGACACATCAATATTTCCCTTTCATTTAAAAGTCAGGGTGAATTTATCATATATAAACTATACTCCAAAAAATGTTTTTCAAAAGATCAGTGTATAGTTCACAATTATTTTCAATTTTCTACTCTGAAAACAATTTTGAAACAAATCATGAATATTTGAGATTTCCAGTGCCATCACTGAATCGATGTATAGTCTTTTTTTAAAAAAGAAATTTACCATCACTATCCTAAAGACTGGTTAGAACTCAACTGCCCTCAAGAATTATCAATAACCCAGTTAAGAGCTAAAATAACAACAAAGAGTTCTGGAAAATGAACTAATAACCTAGCTTGAAATGACTGATAAACTGTTCACAGAAAACTCAACCAACATCCAGGGATTCAAATAAAACTGTTACCAAGAAAGAATAAAATACCCAAACAATTTTCCTAAAAACTCAGCATTGTTTCTCTAATTTCAAAAGGAGCTATTGTTTGAGTTATAAATATAGCACCTGGCTCGCCAGATATTTTCTTTCTATATTTAACATGACCATTTAGACAACAGAAACATTTGAGGGAATTCACTGAAGAATTTCAACATCCTGCCAAAACACAATTATTTTGAAGATTTCAGGATGTGTGATTGATGTATTTACATAAACTTTTTTCTCAAAAATTAGAATTTTAGACTACTGCATTGAAACGAGTAGTTTTCAATCATCCTCATTCCAGATCTGCTTCATACCCCACATGCTATTTTCAATAATTTTACCTGCTTGTTCAACTTCATTGAGATGAGCAGCTTAACTAAAGTCCTCATCTAGAGTTGTATATACATATCTCTAAAGGTAAAAATGTATTCCTATATCATGGTGATTTATCAATGTAAGTTAATAAGTTATGTGAACAAGTTTTTTTTTTTTTTAAGATTTATTTATTTATTCATACAGAACTGGGGTACAGGCCAGAGATGTGGAAGGTGAGAGGATTCACCAGGGACAGAGTGGGGAGCAGAACTGGCAGATGGGCGCAGTACACTGCTGAGGGGAGCAGCGGGCGGGCCAGGAGAGGTCTGCCTCGCCATGTGGATCTCCTCCGGGGCAGGCGGGGATCGAACTCATGCGGAAGTGGCTTAGGCTTCTTAGTGCAGTGCTTTGACTGCTGCGCCACCAGGGAGGGCCCTATGTGAACAAGCTTTTAAAGTACAACATACAGTATCACCACTACCCTCAACTCCCTCTTTGTAGAAACTTTCTGGATGCAATGTTTCTGGCTGGGAAGTAACAACTGCTCTAGGATTTTAAATCATTTCCTATGAGCACCCAAAGAAAAACAGTCTGAAGCCATTTCTTAACATTTAGTACATTAGACCCCCCCAAAAAAAAAGTCTGGGAGGAGTGTGTGAGAAAATAGGGCGGGAGGACAAACCTCAGACTAAAAAAAAAAAAAAAAATTCATTAAAAGTAGTGTTATGAGGGCCCTACCTGGTGGTGCAGCAGGTTAACAAGCACTGCACTAAGAAGCTTAAGCCACTTCCGCATGAGTTCGATCCTCGCCTGCCGGGGAGGAGATCCCGGGAAGAGATCCACATGGGGAGGCAGACCTCTCCTGGCCCGCCCGCTGCTCCCCTCAGCAGTGTACTTCATCGATCCGCCTGTTCTGCTCCCCACTCTGTCTCTGGTGAAGCCTCTCACCACCCCTTTGGCCTGTACACCAGTTCTGTATGCACAAATAAATAAATCTTTAAAAAAAAAAAAAAACCTCACTGCTAAAGGTCTTCTAAGTCACTTCACTCAGATTAAGGATAATTTTTGAAGTTTTGGTATACAACATGTAACTATAGGGCATATATCCAGTGTCAGTGCTTGATATGTCCTTCAAACTATTGTCAGAACTAAAGAACACTTGCTGATAAGCCTGTGTTGTTTTGCTTGTCTCTGAAAGTATCTGCTACATTATCATATACTTTCCCCTACCTCAATTTACCAAGGTTTGAGCTAGCTTCACCTTCCTTCCACTGGCCACCAGGAAGGTTAGGCCTGCTTTATAGGTGAAGAGGAAGGAAAAAAATAAAAAAAAAAAAAAAAGCATTTAATGGACCTCACCTAATGACTAAGGTTCAAATCTACTACAGCTCAAAGTGAAACACCAGAAGCAGAAGATGAAGGGATTACAACAGGAGCGCCACTAGGTTTAGCAGGTCAGTCATAGTAAACAGGACTCATCAGCTGTGCCGCAACATAACATTTTCTGTTAGACTTCTAACTATCATGATTATTTCTTTGGGGCCTCACTCCACATGTAGTTGTGTATCATTGAAAGTCGTTCTACATAAAAGTTTAGAATTAGACATTCCATTCATCTAGCAAAATATTTCTGTTCCTTTGTAGCCTCTGTGATAATTACATAAATTAGTTATTAAGGTTAATCTGCTGTTAGCTACCCAAAAAATCTGCTGTTACTTACAAAAAAACAACATGTTTTAAGCATTTCTGCTCTACAAATTACAGTTGGATAAGTAGCTCTAAAAGCAAATATAATTCCAATCAAGTTTATCTTATACCTTAGTACTCCTGAGATTTAAGGGAAGAAATTATACTGAGACATTTAAAGATAAAGGAAACCTCAGGCAAATGAATAGCTCGGGAGGGACACACTGACTGCTGAGTTTCTCTTCCTGTTTGGGAGGGCTGCAGGGTCACTGACTCCATTTCAGCAGTGTATTAGCAGAGCTATATGAACTGCTTAAACACCCTAGGGATGAATTAGATGTCATCATCATTAAGCCATTATTGTTTTATTATTCAGATCCTGTAATAATTCATTTTAGATAATGAAAATTCAAGGGGGGTTGTTTTCGTGCATATAAGCCTACTCACTATACTTGAATGATTTTTTTCTTCCTAGAGTTCAAAGTCATTGGGCTTCTTTCCCAAGGCTGAGGAAGCGAACCATAGCCTCCAATGAACCATAATTACAACCAGCGTTCTTGCCCTAATTTATAAGGCTATTTGGTACCGAATGCTCTTCAGATCTAGTTGACAATAATAATCTATGTCCCTCAAGGAGTTTACCCTCTAAAATGGATAATACTGACATGAGTAGAAGAGGAGAAGACAAAAATAATATACTCAATTAATATTGTAAGTACTATGTATACATTAAGAAATTATGTATACATTATGGCAGAAGGAAAAATAGTGCATGGGGTTAAGGGGAGTAGGTTCAGAATAAGGTATCAAAGTCGACTATGAAACTTGTTCAAAACATATCAGACCTCATGGGCCTAGCAATTTGCATGTAGAAAAAAAAATTACACAAATCAAGATTCTCCCAAAAGAAATGGATATATCAAAGGTCTCAAGGAAAGGCCTATTTTCTGTTTCCCTAGCATCTATACTGTGCCCTCTTAGAAGTATATGCATGTGTGTTGTGG